ATTTTAATAACATTATTTAAAAAAAAATTAACATCTTCTGTAGCTGTTGTATAGGGTGCTGGATGACATACTGACCATTTCCCTCTTACTGTGACTTTCTCCTGCTACTCTCCAATAATTCTTAAATGACAGCTATTAATACATTAAACTGTATCTGCATTTCAACTTTAAACTTTAAGCTAAAAGTATAGTTGGGAAACCCTCCTAGAGTTTTCCATTGGCTGAACTTCAGCTGACCATTTAGACAAATTGCTATTGAAGTGACTAACTTTTGACCATTTAGATTTTTTTAGCTTTTATTTATTCATTTTTTTCTCCTAGTTGAAATCCCTCAGGTTCTGTCTTTAACTTTCTTTAACATATAAAGATATGATGGACTGCTTCACTGAATGTTTGCTTTGTCTTCTGAAATGGCAAACAAACCCTCTCATTATGCCAGGTTCTGCTGGTCTTTTGAGGGTTTTTTTTACATTGTAATTGCCCCCATATTTTGTAGGACAGCTGCAAAGTTATTGACTGATCTCAACCAACTGTCCATCGTTGCTTCATGCTCGTAATAGAACGGTAGCGCAGACTGAGTTGTCCAAAGACTGGAGCCAACTTGGCTTGAGGGCTGTTAAATTGTAAAATAGAACCATACATTATTAGCGATATGTTATTTTTATTTTATAAATGCATAATTAAAGGAATAACGAGCATTTATTTGGATTCTGTTATTTCTTGCAGTTCTATTAGTGTTGATTGGTGTTGCATAAAAAAAATGATACCTGTAGGTAATCAACTATAATAAAATAAATATATCTATATATATTTCTGTAATATCTTGTCTTTTAGAGCATTAAAACGTTGGTGGGGCTCAGCATTTAAGCATTGCTGAAATTCCCATGGAAGCCTGTCTCGGGCAAATTGACTGTTCTATATAAATCAGTAGCATTTGATGTTTTTTTTTTCATAAGCGGAATGGATTTAGATATTAAAACTTCCAGCTTAAGTCATTGCCTTCATCCTTAAGACATTTTTTAAGGACTTAAAAAGCTCCTCCTAAATCCTAGAAGTTCAGGTTCTGAATGCCAGAGGTTTTAATGATGTTGCGATTATCCCTCCCTCACTCCCTCAAGTGGTTTAACCATTATAATCTAAAGCCAGACTCTTTATTATTGTGTAAAATTGTGAACCTATTGTAACACTGTTTTGTATTTAAAAGCCTGTTTTGTTGTAGTCTTGCTCTTGTCACACACCTGGCCTTTGCTTTTTTCTACTCATCTGATCCCCTGTATTCATTATCTCCCCTTATTGTGCTTTGCAGTGTTATCTTGTCAGTGGTATCTTGCACTGCGCTGCTCACCCCTTCATTTGGATTTGCAGTATGGACTGAATATTTTATTGTCCTGCCCAGAAGCAATTTATTTTTTCTTAATAAAAAAAGTATAGTTTCATTCTTCTTCTGTTTGCCTTATGTCAAAAAGTCCAGACTTGGGTCATCCTCCATACCGAGCTTTAACAGAATCACTAAGCTAACAGCGGTGCTGCTTTGTTTCTAGCTATATAGTTGAGATCCATTGGTTACAAGGCACAATAGAGTACAACAGGAATATTGCAGAAGCAAACATGTCCTTAAACCCACAGAGGGACAGTTGTATAGCCTGGTCTGTAATGCAATATGAAACATATAGTTTGTGTTCAGAGGCTTTCAGAAACAGAGCTACTCACTGAGCCCTCATAAAATGGTAAAAGTGGTTTATATACGGAATCAATCCACAGAAAAGCCCTCAAAACAACAGAAGTTATCAGTCAAACATGAGGTGGGACAGCATGTGATTCTGTGGCTGTGGATTCTTGTGCTGACATTTTCCTCACACATTTTTGACCTGTTGTCAGTTTGTTTAATTTTAACAAAGTTATATTGATGATGAACTGTAAAATATTCAGGATGTATAATGAATAGCACTCAAAGTGTTCAAGTTAAAAAAAAGAATAGCTTCTCATCTTTCCCCTACAATTTTTAATAATCAGAAATCTTAAGAAAATATGTGATACATGTACACATATGATTAAAGCTGAAATGTTTTGTCTGGTCTGGTCTATTTATATCCTTGTTGACAACATGATGTGATTATGATTAGTCAGCAGCAGAGAACCAAACATAATATGGAAAGAACTTTTCTGTTAAAAAATGATTTCAGGAATGATTTCAGGAAGAGATACATTTTAGTGCTCTGCCTGCTTCAAACGATAACATTTGTGAATTGTCGGGTGATCATAATAAAGAGAGATCATACTCCTCAGGGAGACGCAACAAATGGCAGGATATTGGCCCAATCCAAAATGATGGATTTTCTGGATTAACAGTCAAAGCATTCCTGACGTTCTTCGGAGCTGACTCAATTGCTTTTATCACACCAGGAATGGCAGTATTATCTCCCTGATTCAGTCACCTTCCCTCTGGCAGGAGGCTGCGATCCCCCAGTACCAAGACCTCACGCCACAAGAAAAGTTTTTCCCATCCGCTACCAGCCTTATTAACAACGCCCAGAGACCCCCGTGACACTGACACTGCCTCTCTCCCTCCCCTGTTCAGGACCTAGAAGCAACACCATCATCAGCATCTCCAGACCTCCTACGTTACATTAACCCACAGTCTACTGGGTATATAGTACATAACTATAGACTATATATTGTATATAGCTATAGATTCTGTATTCTGTATATACACTGAACTTGTCTGCACTATCAACACCAAGTTAAGTTCCTTCTAAGTACAAACTTCTTAATTGAGGCAGAAATCTGCACAATTAAGAGATGCTGTTTTTGTACTGTAATACAGATTCTAATTTGTAGAGATTATTATTTTATGCTGCCAATTTCCTAAGGTGTTTCTTTGTGTTTTTATAGCTAGAGGACAAGCACCCTGCATGCACCATATAGTATTTTTAATAGCCTTTTCTAAGTAAACTTTTGGGGCATGAAGAAGGCAAGCTGCAAATGACCTAAAGTCATGCAGAAGGGGACAGAGAATGATGGACTGTCTGGGATGTACAGAGAACCCAAAACAGTTAGTGCATCAAGAACCCTGAGGGGAACTGTATTATGTTGCAACCTGCAGCAAGACTTCTTTTCTTGGTGAGGAGAAAAATAAATGGACACTCACTGTACCTATTTATTTATTTCGCCTAAAAAAGAATTAAGCCATGTTTTTTTTTGTTTTCTGCACATGTTGCTTAATTCCACAAATTTTGTCATAAAATCTAAAATTATCTGTATATGATTGTACTTCTGTATTCCAAACATCCAGATGTATTTTCCATTATTCTGTAAACAGAGAAAATGTTTATGCAATCTTTTGCAGCCTTTAGATTTATTAGAGCACATGCTTGAATGAAACAATAAGATCCTACACCCTTTGGTGAAATTCATTTTACAGAAACATTTCTGAAAAGTGTATTGTTTGGGGTCTATTAGGGATTCCGTCATAACTCAGTACATTGCAAGTTTAACAGCTTATAAATAGCCTCGGCTTGTCTGTTTATGAGAACATTTGGTAAAATGTAGGACAGGAAGTCATTGTTTAGCTCTTATTTAGCCACAGATTAAAGAAATACCTCACCTCGAATTTGTTTGCTTCCTGAGGCAAATGCATTCCATCTCTAATTGAGGGTCTCTTACAACTCACTGAGTCTATACAAACGGCTTTAATACTAAAACCATTATTATTTCAAATCATTGTCAAAAAGGAAGGATAAATCATTGACTTGTGCCCCGTTAATGCTGGAAAATTGCTTCATGCATTTTGCGTCACTGACAGTTAAGGGCTCGAAAACAAGTAAAGCTAATGTCATAATCTGGCTGCAGCCACTCGGTTCTCTGCAGCCGCCTCTTGATTCTGCTCCGGGCTTAAACAAACAGGCTCATCTGCACTGGATCATTTGCCGTTTCCAGATACGCTGCGGTTTATAGGCAATTATCTCTCTCGATCCATTATCGATTACAGTGTTATCTAAGTTGCATTGCTTAATCTTTTGGCACAGTATAATAGTTGCTCACATCGGGCCTGGATGCAAACTGTTTTGCGCTGAAAACATTGGTTAAGATGGATGGATGCTCATTTGTGTGTAAATGGTTGCAGTTTAAAGTCTGACTGATGGAGAATATATTCAGTGTCAAAGAGAGGGCATGGTTGACTTTAAATATTATTGTTTAAGGTTAAGGTTGTGGAAAGAATGCAAAGTACTGTGCATATGTTCTTAAACTACATGTGTAAAAGTCTAAAGCTGAATTTTAGATAAGATACAAGGTCTATTGAGCAAATCCTTTTTATGAAATTTGCTTCCAACCTCCAAGGAAACGACACACTTTGCACCTACTGTACAACTCTCAACCTTATACTTGATAGTAAGATGAAAAGCTCTTCGATTTAAAATAAAAATAACTTAAACTTTACCTGCCATTTCTCAGAAAGTAGTCTTTAGTTACAGACATAAAATGATAAAGAAACAATCATGCAACTTAAATTGCAAGAAAACGCTGTAACACACTGTTACTGATGTTGAACAAAGATCGACTCAGAGAAAGTTAAAATACAAAATAGGTGGTGACCAAGTGTTAAAAAACAGTAGGTCTGCTTTCAGTGAGCTGATTGCTGTCAGATATTCTTTTTTTTTCCCTATTCCATCTTTTTTTTTTTTTTTTTACAACTTTTACAAAGTAAACCAGCTCTTTAACCTTGCTTAAAGCGTTAAGTAAAATGTAAACAGCAGCAGACTTTCTGATCTTAGCATCCAGTGATCTTCTTTTGTTTGAGCTCATCAGGTAAAGTGCTGACATTAGCGGTCATTTTGAAGATGTCCTCTCTGGACCTGCTGAATTCAGTTGAATGTGTCTGCTTCTGTTTTCAAGGGGGTCCTGGTTTAAATCAACCATCCAGGGCATCAACAGTGAAGCTATTAATATTGAATATTTGTTTTGTCTAACATTTTTCTCTCTCTTTTGTCTCTTTATTCCAGTTGGGTCAACAACTTCGGACATGAGGGGCTTGGCCTTCTTCTGGATAATCTGGATAAGCTTTTGGACAAAAAACAGTAAGTTAACAAGCCCAGCTTCCCACTTCTCAATACTGTATCTACACCTGTGCATTAAGGAGGATGTCATATTTAAACATGCTTGAATATGAAATGTTTTTATTCTGCAGGCAAGAGAGCATTGACAAACGCAACCAGTACAAACTTATCCAGTGTTTAAAGGCCTTCATGAACAATAAGGTTTGTATAACTTTATATTAGAGATGCATTTTGTATACTGATTCATTAGATCTTTCTTTAATTTTTTATTTTGAATGGACCATCACAAAAAATTGTAACTGAGCAGATATCTAAAACGTTGAGTTACAAATCAGGTTCCCACTCAGTCTGCAGGAAAAAAAAGAATAAAATAAAATTCAATGTTATCCAGGTCTTAAACGTTCTTTAAACTTCTTTTTCCTCAAAGTCCTTCATTCCTTCCTCCTTTAATTCTTTCCAGTTGGTTGTTTTTGCATAAAATACCAGAAGCCCAATACAAATTACTGTGTAATAAACTTTAGTTTGCTATATTTTGAGGAGAATGCAAATGACTTAAAGCCCTTGAAAGCCGAATCTGTTAAATCTGGAATTACTACATAAACAATGTTTATGCAACCTGTTTTAAAGTGTAAAACATGCACAGGTGGTAAGAGCTCTGACCTTATTTGCATTTTGTTGTTGACTGGCTGAGGATAATGAAGCAGTAAAGCGATGCTAATTTCACCTTAAAAAGTTTCTGAACTTTCAATTATCCCTTTTATAGGAAAGTGTTGCTCATTTCTCTAAAGTGGCCCAGATTTTAGGGTTAGGTGCACTATTGATATTGCTTCTAGTGAAGTTAATCCCATCCACACACACACACACACATGATTATTTCAATCCAGTCCTCCATTTGTACTTAGACTAAAAGCTGCAGAAGACTAAGAATTTCTCCCTGCAGTCCTGTCCTGAATTAAATCAATTTATCATCGTTGCCATTTCCTTGCACAGCTTCGTTGTATCTCTTTAAAAGAGGATTAAGGCTAACTGTAACTTCATACACTACAGCTTTTTTATGTAATTTATATTTTACTAGAAGTGGAAGTTCCCTATGAATATAAAAGCTCTCATTATCTTCTTCCCCGATGGACCTCTTCTCTACCTTGCCTTATCTGCTCTCTCTTTTACAGTATGGACTGCAAAGGATCCTGGGCGATGAGCGCAGCTTGTTGCTGTTGGCACGAGCCATCGACCCCAAACAGACCAACATGATGACGGAGATTGTCAAAATTCTCTCAGCTATTTGTATCATCGGAGAAGAAAACATGTGAGTTGAATGGATCATATCTGAGCATTTCTCACAGCCACCTAACACATCAGCCTCTTTTCTCCTCGGAGTAATGTCAGATAATGAGATTGTCACAGTATAAAGGTCAGAGGCATTGGTTTTATCTGCAGGTCTGCAGAGCTCTATTGATAAAGGAATGTTAATGAAATATAACTCTAAACTTTCAAAGAAAAAATGCATTAAAAGCACATTTTATAGGTTCTAATATTGAAGCAAATAGAGAGCATGTTGGGCACAGTACTTTTTGAAGTTGATTGGATTTAGGATATCTTCCAGCTTTACTTATCTGTCTACGAAAATTAACAATATTTATGATCCAAAACTTACTATACAAATTTTATCTTTAGCAGCAAAACCTATATGACCCCTGATAAAAACCTTTTTAATCAAGCTGATTAGTACCTACTGTACAAAATTGTTAGTTTTATGAGAGATTTCATTCTGTTTTTTCATCTTTATGATTTAGATTTTGAAAACAAAAAACAACAATGTAATAAAAAGTATATACTTCATGTTTCCGTCAAATATGAGTATATCATTTTTACATTTTATAGTTGCTCTCATAACTGTTTTTTATTTTTTTGCTTTTATTTATTTTTTCTTATTCATGTATTCACATACCTTTACAGTTTCTAAAAGTACATTTTTTTATTGTTTTATCTTTTATTTTAGTTGAGGTGGGGGTTGAAATAAATGCACAAATAAAGTAGAAACATCTCACAGGACTTCTGACAAGTAAAGCAGAAGTACTGTCTTCAGTCAGGGGCTTCTGCAGCAGAGACTTCCTGTCTGCAGCCATCAGCATCTATAACAACTCACTGAAGAAACACCTAGAATGTTGGTTACAGCATTTAATTTCCCTTAGGGATCAATAAAGTATTTTTAGATTTAATTAATATGAAAATAAAAAGCTTTGAGGTTTTTCTCATCTGATCTGCAGAAACCCCCATTTGTAAATGTATGTGACATCTGGAGGAAAAGCTATATAAGTAATGGCTGGCTTTCTTTAAAAAAGAAGAAACAACAACTTTACACTATTTTTAGTGTTGCAATTATCGGGAAAGCCAGCTTTTTTATTTTCTGATATGCCATCAAAAACCATGTGTTTGTACTAGGAAAGTATATCTCACAATTAAAGGACTGATTCCAAATTGGTTTTAGTGTTATTTATTGGTATCTGACAGGAAGGAAAACATTTTCTTTAAAAGGCAGCATATATTTTAGTTTTATAGCCTTTTAATTGCTTGTGTTGCCATATCTTTTTTCAGTAAATCTATGCCGGTGTGTAAACTGAGCTACATCATTTAAAATCCTTACCGAAGACAAAAATAGGAAGCCTCGTTCGTCTTTACTGAGCTTACACCTCTAATGTTGAACAGAGAATATAGGAAATACTGCCTTTGCGGTTCTCATCCTCCAAGTCTATTTTTATGTTTTACAGAGATTCCATCCCACCATTAATATCCATGCTGAGTTTATTCACGGTGGGAACTCATATGCTGTATCTACAGAAACAACTCAGTACAAAAATCACACTTTTCGGTGCAGCATTGTCTCTTTATTTTACTTTGGACACAACTTGCTTGACAGCCTTTAAATTGGAGTTATGTGAGTGTTTCTGTTGTTTCCCACTGGGCCAGACTGGAATAACAATAACAGCTCAGAGTCAAGTCTTTATGCAGTCAAGGAAATAAACAAACCCTCTTTTTTCTGTTAGGAAAAAGCTGAGTTTAGCAAATGTGTCTAAAATTTTTCACCATCTAAATCTGGGCTGTGGGCTTTTAATTCTGATGCTGACTATACATTTTCCAAAACTGGTTTCATGTTGTGGAATATAAATTGATTAGTTTTATTCTTGGATATCTTTTGCTTCTGAGCCTATGATTGGAAAGTGAATAGAATTTACTACTGACAGAATTAGTAAACGTTTTAGGAATATGATTGTGACTGTAAAGGGTTGCTTAGTTTTGCTTGCAAAAATTAATTCTGAGTATAATCAAAGCCAGTTTAACTGTTTAACAGATTCTTTTTTATTTATTTTTTTTTTTTTTTTTTTTGGTTTTTTTTGGAGGCCGTTTTCCCCCCCTTGAAATTAAAAAATTGCAAATAGAAATTCATAATTAGGAGATTTAAAGTAATAATTTTGACTTTCAAAGCCATAATTATGAAATTAAAAAGTCATAATCATGAGATTATAAGTCATCATTTCAAATTCCAAAATCATAATTATGAGATACAAAGTCATAAAGTCATGAATTTATGTCAATGGTCATGTTGGAATTGTATTTTCACCATTTAAAGACCACCTACAGTAATCTAGATTGCTTGGTAGCGAAGATCCTCTTGACATCTGTCTGTTGCATTTCAACAAAACATACAGGAGTCGGTTGATTGCCCCATAAAAGATAAAGAAATTATCTGCCAAAGTGAGAAAAATGTTGTGACAACTCAAGCAAACTTTTATTTAATTTACAACAACATTTACAGGTAGATGCACTTGAGTCATTAATCAGTGCACTGATGCAGTTGATAAGCAAATTAGATTCATGTTTGGTTCTGTCGCTACATAGGTTGATATAAACACATCACTCCTAATGTTGCAACTTAGTGGCACTATATATGTATATATAGCAGACCTGGATTCCTCACATTATTTTATTCGCTCACTCCAGTCACTCAGATAATTAAAAATAGGTTAAGCAACAAGATCTTTGTCACAATCATAGCCATGCTTTAAAAATGTCAGAATGCTGTGGAAATGACAGTCAAAGGAATTGAGGTGTAGCTTTTCACCCTTCTGCTCTGAAACTTCTCTGCCAGCCAGTGCAGTGAATCTGACTCATGTTCGGCACCATCCTCGGCTGACAACATCAAAAGAGAACACGACAAGTTAAGCAGATCTATCTTGCCTGTTTTGTAGCAACGTCTGAACTGGCTTTAAAGCTGCTCAGTATGCCGCTCATCATGTTTTCCAGTAACTTTGTAATGTCTATCATGCGGCGTCTTCCATTTATCTCAGTGTAAGCTTTACTCTGTACGGTTCTATTGGTCAGACACATGATCTCTCTGCTCACTGATCAGCTGCTAATCACAAAAGCTGTAGAGGATGCAACCACAAGTATGTCTGCTGTGTTTGATTAGGGATGTTTTTTCATACATGCTGAGCCTTGAAAAGGTCTTCATATCCCTTAAAATCTTTCAATTTCAGCTTCTTGCGACCACAAACCTGAACGTTCTATTTTTTGGATGAAATGAAAACACAAAGAAAATCTTAATTGGGATACTTAATTGGTTTCATCTGTTTTAGGTTAGTATTTACCTCATTTATTGGCCACCTGTGCGACTTATTCTGTTGAGCGACTTATGTGTGAAATTATTAACAAATTATATAATTTCACGTGTTATTTTCACACTTAACCCCAAGAAGACGCATTGGGTTTAAGTAAAAAAAATAAAAAAATAAATTAAAAAAACACAACTGAGAAGGGCTTTACAAAAAGGCACCGAAAAGTAAATTATATTCTGCAGATTACAAGCTGCAAGTATAAATATATGCTGCCAAAAACGTTAATCGAGCAGCAGAAAGAAAGTTTGGAGTTAGCAGAGACTTAAAAGTGACACAATGGATGAAGATTTCATTGGATTTAGTCATTTGGGGATTGACACAGATGGTTTGATAAACTTGTTGGCATGTTATTTATACTATAGTTATCTGAATAACTTTTAATGTGTTATGTTAACATACCAGGCATGTTCTCAGATTGTTTTTCGTGTGTCGTGTAATGTTAGCGTACCGTACAATTATTTAGCCTGTTGTTGCCTCTATTCTATTTTCATTTTAAATTTTCTTTCAAGATATTCTTGGTTATGCTTTTTTATTATGCATATTGTGGCTGGTGGAACTTGTACTCGAGAGTGATTTATAATCCATAAAATACGGTTGTCAAAAATCTGCAGTTCATATAAAAGTCAAAGGACACATTTTTTTTTTTTTTTTTACAATTTCACCCCTGACCTGCAGAATGTGCAACCTGGTCTTGGTGATCCTCTGAGGTCTTCCCAGTGCAGCTTCTGTAATACTGAGTAAAAATGATGCAAACATGTACTTAGGAGGTGACATTTAATTGCATATGATTTTATTCAGGGTATGAGAGGGAATGAGAATGAATTTAAGTTAAATACACACTTTTCAAAATGTCTCTTAGTTCATAATTATGATGTGCCATGAGAAACACAGGAACAAATTGGCAGAACTAAGAAAGTTTCCTATGACTTTTTTTTCGATTCAGGGGAAAAAATATAGCAATTTTCCTGTTATGACAAAACGTGCAAGTTGAAGATATAAACTAACCCCTCAGTGCTCTAAATGACAGATTCCGAAGTTTTAAAAGACCAAATTGTTTGTGTAAAACTGTTGCACCTCTGCATATATGGAGGGGACACACCCACTCCTTATTTAAACAATTGCTTTGTTCAGCTCAGCAGTCTTTTATGATGTGTGTCGGCCTGAAAAAAGCACATGGCTACTTACTTATGCAGATAGGATCAGATAAAAGGCAGCACCATATCCTATACCCCTCACTTTACTGAGACTGTTTTCAAGCATCAGGTGCATACTGGGATTTTCTGGCTGCACACCACCTGACTTATCTCTCAAAAAGTTTACAGCTTTTAGGCTAATTGTAGATACAATAAATTCTATCAAAAGAAACCCAGTATTATTAGAATAAAGCCCTCAAAAAAGTTGAATTTAACATGTTAACCAACATCTTACTTTTAGAACAAGTTGCAGCCATCATGCAGCTGAAAGACACCAAAAACATAAAGAGATTAAAAAACTTATATAAAATTAAAAGTTTTAGAAAGTTTTTACAACTTTGTCCTCAACATTTGTAGCAAAACTCACATTTTTTGTTTAAGCTTGGTTTACTGAAGCGGCTGTGTAAATCTTCACACCAGCACATGAGAAGAGATATGATGAGAAGCATTTGAAGGCCTAAATAACAAAAAAAAAAAAGTTGTCCTGTCACTGTGAGGTAATGAAAGTATTTGCTTGTCTTTTTCCCCAGCCTGGATAAGATTCTGGCTGCCATGACGATTGCAGCAGAGAGGAACAATAAAGAGAGGTTTGCTCCAATTGTGGAGGGATTGGAGAACCATGAGGCCCAGCAGCTCCAGGTGAGTGATTAGGCATGCACTCAGCATGAGCAGACAACCAACAGCACGATGATCCAAATACCTTAGCACTGCTCTGCCATAAAGTGGTACAGTGAAAATATAATTGCCTGCAAACCTAAAACTGAGGTTTAAAGAAATCCTGTTAGAAAACTCCTGTTTAATACATACACTGTGGATACAAAGCAGAAGCAGACAGCATGTCGTTCACAGACCGTGTTGTTTTTCTGTAGGATCCTAATGGCGACAGAAACAACTCAAATAGACAGTTATGCCAATTTATGTTGTGTTTGGTCCATTAATACCTCAATCTGAGCTTTATAACCACAACTAACATTACCCCTGTCTCCACGTCGACTTGTCCTCATCATATCCCCCCTAGGACATGACAAGATGTGATCAGGGACCCATTATAATTCACTCAATGCTCCATTGCCACTTCTTTATTAAAAGAAAACACCTGCCTCATTGAGCAGCTTCACTGAATGGCTCTTTCCGTTTTTGCAAAGGGATACAAAAGATGCAGTCAAAGAAAGATACTGATTTTCTCTTTGTTCTTTGCTTCTTTTCTTTTTCACATTTCCTCTTCCTCTCACCGCTTTTACTCACCTTTTTTTTCTTTACATCCCACAAATACTTCCTATTGCTTTTTTTTTTCTACAATGCTGTCAAATCTCAAGTTAAATCTCAGAGGAGGGCAACAAAGCAGCGTATCTCTCCTCATTTTCACCAGTGTTCTTCAGGAACAGGAAAACAACTATCTAACAGCAGCAACAACACCACTCAAAGCATGTTTTTTTAAGACTCCAAAGTAAGGAATTGCTTAAGGAATTGGTTTAGCTGCAGGGCCTGAGAAGTCATGAAAGTAAGAGAAGATGAGCCGGGCAGTGGAGGAGAAACAAGATATTCTTTTATTAGAAGGTCGTTGTTTTTCCTTTTTCCTTTAAATTTTGCCATTAATGAAATGAAGCTCTGCTAATTGTGGAGTAAATTAAAATGCCTTGCTGATGCAGGGGGTTTTGGGGGAAATTAATAGACTTTAAATCCAAAGCCGGTGATCGTCGGCACAGCTAGACTTTGCTAATGTGATTGAAATGTGCTTCAGTTTAGTTCAGGCTAAAAGCGAACAGGTTTAAAACAGAGAAACTCCCTGTCTAAATGCCTTATACTTTCTGAACATTAGCGGTTTAATTTCAATGTCTGGACACCCTTACCTTAGCCGTAGCAGTCCTCTGAAACTCACCCTCAACCTTCCCCCAGACCCTTTCCTTGTGAGAAAGAGAAAGCATCAATTTTTCATGAGCTGCCTCAAGTTTTATTTGCAGGTTCTAAAGATAAATCTAGATGTCGCTGTGTTTTTATTATTACATTTCAAATTTTGGTTTTCTAAAAGTTTTGAAATGTATGTTTAAAGCAAATGAGTCTGAACTATAGACTATCGAGTTTAGAAAAGTCTTAAAAATTACATGACATATATTATGATCCCTTGTAATATTTACAGTTGTGAAGTCAATTTCAACTATTTTTTTTACTTTAAAGACTAATTTAGATTAATCTAATTTGTCCTCTAAGTATTAACTGCTTTAATATCAAGTTATCAAAAACTCTAACTTTGGTCAGAGCCATTATGTTTAACCTTCATTCAAAATATTCCTAAAAAAATCAGTGAGCCTCTCTTAAAAAATGGAAAATATTTATAGTTTTGCTCTGCCTTTATCTTTTTGAGATGACTTCCTTTTTTCCTCTTCCAGCATTTGCACACTTATAATACACGCTGGTACACAACAATAAACAAAAACAAATTCTGCCGCCCAGCCTCTCAGACTGACAGTGAAATAAGGCAGTAACAGAAAATAAGTTTTTAAATTAAATTAAAAAAAAGCTGTATGACAGCCCTAAAGAATCAGCTTAGCTGTCATTGCTATTAATAACACATGCTGCATAGAGCGCAGGGTCAAGGTTTAAGAATTCAGTATTTTAGATTTTGTTCATGGGAATCTTTCAGCCTGCTCTATCGATTGTCTGTCAAAGGAAAAGTGCCTTAACCATGGCTTGCTCCCTAGAAACCCCCTACTTCTCATTAGAATTCATCTGCTATTTCCTCTCCCTAACCTCCACTCATCCATCCACTCACCCACCCAGCACAAAATCTTTTTTTTTCTTTCTTTATTCTTCCAATAAATCCATTAATAATGCACATCTGTTCAATAGAATCACAGAACTGGACTGTTTCACATTTCACCTGAGTTTTTTCTTTTCTCCTCAGCTCAGCAGCTTAGGCCCTGAGAAACATAATGAAACAAGCTCTAACTAACAAAACACATTCATATGCACTATTAATCATATATAATACATTTTGCATAAAAAACTCAACCACAGCTTCATTTTTCTAACAAGAACGTTTAATAAAAAGTTTAATAAAAATATATCTTATAATGATGAACCAGCTGTTCATGTTTCTTTATATGGTGGGGTTGCTCTTATGGAAATATTCCCTCATTCTCTCTATCAATGCCAAACAGTTTTATTTATTTATTTTTCTTCTGGAGGCAGTGTGATGGTATGGGGCGTTCTCTCTCTCCCCGAAAAAGGACAAGATGTGTCAGGATTGGAAACCATCTAAATGCAGAGATTTTGAGATGGGATTCTGCTAGTAGTTTTAATCTCATATCTGCATTCAATCTATTCTATAGGATGGCAGCATCAGTGTTTATGAAAGATTTCCTCTAAAGTTTGGGATTTCCCAGGTTTGAAAGGACCCTGAAGCTGTGTGTTGGTTCCTAGTATGCTTTATCCGTGCTCAGAAGCCTGTCCGCTCAGTAGAACTGTTTCCATCTCCCATTATTTTAGCATTTTGAAACATCGCATTGGAAGAGCAAAAATTTAATCAGCTTAATACATTTTCACAAAATGTTTTTTAGGCTCACTTGGGTTTTTTTAAATTTTTTTTTACTTTTTTGATAAAGTATAAATGTGCTGCAGAGACAATGGAAACACATTTTTAATACGTTCTTATGTAATGAATCAATCGAATGTTTCTGCCGCCCTGAATGCAACGTTAGATTCACATTTCTCTCTCAATGGGTCTGAATGGCATGAACCATTGTTAATGCTAGCTAAGATGATAAAGTAAGTCTACATTGCCAGATGCATAGCGCTGATTACAGCCTTGGTCTGTCACTATTTAGCCACTACATATAAACATAGAAATGGTAACAGAAACCTGCTTGAGATTTACTTTTTTCTTTATTATTTTTTCTTGATCATGGCAGCTCTAGTTGTAGTTGATCCCTCAATCCGACCGGCAGTCTGAATTCACCCTGAGGAGGACATGCTAGGGAGACTCCTGTTGTTGTGAACAGTTCACACAATGGAGGTTCGCATTTTTTTTTTTGCTTTTTTTTTTTATGAAGGAATTGCTAAATAACCAAACATGCCTTTTTTTCTTCAAACTTCAGTAATCAGTTTAGAAATGACATGATACTGGAGTCAATAAGCTGTTTGGTTTTGGCATTGGATTGGGCAAGTCCCTTCTTTAAATCTGATGTTCAGTCCACCAGTGCATTTTTCTAACAACTGAGCAATATTCGAGGGAAAACAGGTTGGAATTTTTTTTTATATATGATATATATATATATATTCAGATTATTCTTTCATTCCCAATTTTGGAATCCATCACAAGTAAGTACTGCCAATGTTTCGAGTTAAAAAACACTTCAAACGACAGAATTTAACTTTTTGGAGTCAAAAAATCTATGACAAAGGTCATACCAATTTTCTTTAATGCCTAACCCTTCCAAAATAAATAAATATATATACCGGTATATAAACTTTAATAAACAAAATCCGTACATTGTCTCTTCAAATATAATTCTGTGTATTTTCCCTTGTATGTGTTTCAAGAAAAAAATGTGTTCTAGAAAAAAAAATCTAAATCTGAAATCCAGGCCTCACAGAAAGCCAAAAATGAACATTGACTTAGAAAGGTCTAATCAGTGCATCTGTAATTATAGCTGGAGCTCTGATTCCTACCATTACCGCCCTCCGTTTGCTCATAAGTTTATTCTTTTTGTATTTGTCTGCTCTGCAGGTTGCCTGTATGCAGCTGATCAATGCCCTGGTCACATCACCTGATGATCTAGACTTCCGGATTCATCTACGCAACGAGTTCCTCAGATGCGGCTTAAAGAAGATCCTTCCTGTGAGTTATGAGAAAGCAACTTAAATCTCCTGTGACTGTGAAGATGTTGCCTAAAATTTCAACATATAATAATGAATAAAGCAAGTTCAAGTCAGTTCAGTTAAACCTTATCACATTAAATCATTTATTGCTTCATTCAAGTAAAATAACCCTTTCTCTTTCATATTTCTATAGAGAAAATATATTCATTCTCGTGCATTTTGAATTTTAAATGTAAGTCCTAATTGTTTTAGTTGCAATCAGAAATTGCGGATCAAAATATCTATTCGCAGAATTTGTTTTGCTTTACTGATTAGTTAGAAAATGGAAGTAATTGCAAAGCATAATCTCAAAGAAAAGATTCTAAACAATCAGAATGATTAGTAGAAAGGGCTTGTTGAGAGTGCAGTGCAGAGCTCACACCTTTGCACACAGGCGTCATTATCAGCAACCTCACCGTCCTCGCCTTCACATGAGCCCAAGGCGAGCGAGCTCCAGCTCATCACTCAAACTCTCATTTGTTGCAAGTGGGGTGAACGTGTCACAGAGCCAGTTGTTAATAAGTCATCCCAGCTGCTCCTGTTGATTTTTACGGTCATTACTTTAATTATCTCCATTCCTGCCCCCTGATATGAAAGAGCCTGTGTGTACAGTCGTTTATGAATCCCACATTTACCACTTTTATTGCCTACATTCAGCGTGACACTCCTTCATCTAATTATGAGTTATGCTCTGGAGTGTGTGTAGCTGTTGGCTAAGAAATAGTGAAGCCCGCAGGAAAAGAAAGCACAATTTGTTTAGTTCTGATAGTCCTTGGCCGCCTGTGTTTGGCTTCCTACCTCGCATCAACCTGCGAACTAATGTTGGATGCCAAAGACAGATGGTGCACCCCAAAAATGGTGCAAAGTGATTGATACCTACAGAAACTGGGTTACATTTGGCTGTGTCTCTGTGTGTAAACCCCACTGCTAGTGATTCATAGGGAAGTGGTAAAGAGCACCTCTGTGTCCCCTTGTGGCTGGTACAGGTGTGCAGGAAGTGAAACTGTCGGCGGGAGGGTTGTGTGTCATAGTTTTCTTTTCTCTCCTGGACAGTTGTTAAGCTTTGCAGAAGTTTTTTTTTTTATATTTCATTGTCAAACTATAACAACAAACTCCAAGTTATTGAGCTTCTCAGTTAATTAGGATGAAATTACAGAAAAGAAAAATGTGTGGATTGTGGAAAGAATTTATATCCAGCCAATCTTTTAAACCTTAGAACCAGTAATGACTGCAACCACTAAAAAGAAAATAGCTCTAGCTTGACCCGGTTGGATGGAAAACATGTTTAAACATCAGTTTTTAGGTTTCGCTGAATGATTTTTGTGTGGACTTTAGCAGTGCAAAATCAAAGACATGATTATGCTTTCACCTAAAATATTCTGTAAAAGTTCTCTTCTGGATGGGAGATGGGTGGAGCTGTATATAGCTTCACCCATCTCCCCATCACCTCTGACAAGCCTCCCATTCCCTGCTAAGAAAAGCATTCCCACAGCATGATGCATCCGACACCAATACATTGTAGGGATAAACATAAAACAAAATCTCAATAAGCTTCTTTCCATTTTTTTTTTATATTATACTAAAACAGAAGTCAAAGAACTTAGGTGAGGCATAAATACTTTAGCGAGATTTCAATGTAAAGTAATATAATAATCGAGCAAACCTTTAAAAGCATTATGCTTCTTTTACTCTGTATTTAATTTCAAGCTGTATAAAAACAGTTTTAACTCTTGATACTGTGACTGATTTCCAGGAGATAAAGAAGACCGAAGAGCTGGACATTCAGCTGAAGGTGTTCAATGAGAACAAAGATGAAGACGCTATTGAACTCTCCCATCGCCTGGATGACATCCGTGCTGAGATGGAATATCCTTTTGTTTTTTGGTTGATATATAGAGGCATGATGTTCAGGCCTGCAGAACTAGCAGAGGGTCGGTTCTTACTTTTGGTTTTCGCTTTGCAGACTAAATCCGCCTTATGGCTTTGTTCATTAGAGGAGGATTAGATGAGTCAAAGCACAATATCCTACTCTATCCCTGGGACAGGTATACTTGGTAAATAACCCAGTCATCTTAACCTATGACCTCTGCAGTCTTTTATTTGCTCTTTTCATCTAATCCTTCTACTCTTTTCTTTACTTTGCTTTTTGTCCTTTGTTAGCTTTTGGGTTAGAAAGACTTTAATGAAACAAAAGGTAAAGGTGTAAAATAACATTATCCTGTTTAAGGCATCTTAAGTAATGGCATCCCAATGAAATACTTTTTTTCAATAATTCATCTAATTTATTACACAACAGTGATATATATATATATATATATATATATACATACATACACAACACATGTCATCTCAAGCCAGTTTACAGTCAAATTAATTAAAAGTTTGCTATCTAAGGAAAACCAGTTGATTGCATCGACTCATTGACACAAAGACAATCCCTCACACCAAGTATGCTTGTAGCGACAGTGGAGAGGAAAAACTCCCTTTTTAACAGGAAGAAACCTTCAGCAGAACCAGACTCGGTGTGAGCGGCCATCTGGTGAGGCCGACTGGGGTTCAAGGAAATAGAAGAAGACATACAGAAAGAAGCAGAGATACCAAAGGCAACTGTCTACCAGCTCCACAGGCAGCCCAGTACAGGAAACACACAGCCAGGCAGACAAGCTTTGAGTTTCATTGTAATGATTTAATTGATTTATTAATCCCAAAGGACAATTGGATAAACAACACAATCATGGAGAAGGCAGTTGACTTCACAGCTGTTCAGGAGACATAGATTAGCGTCCTCCACGCAGGGATCACAGAGGGCTGTATCCAGGTATATTAAGAGAAAGTTTAGTGGAGGGAAAAAAGTATAACTTCTCCTTACTGACAAGCTTCCTATGAATGATAGTTTTATATTCTTGACACTGGCCAACAATGCAGGAAGTACCACTACCTTGTTTAATGAACATGCTAACTGGGCTTGACCAGATCTGAGCTCCATAGTTTTTCTATGAATTTTATCAAGGTAAAGATAAGACACTAAACTTTACTAAGCAGATTAGCATAAGGAGACTATTCTTGCAAGCTGGGCTTCCTGCACAAACCTCAGCAGCTCCTAAGCTCTGTTCCACACAGATGATTCAGTCATTCATGCAAGCCAAGTACTAAATACAGATACTGCATGGATATATTTTTTGATAAGATGAGATTTCTGGTGCTTATTTCCTGTTTCCTATTATACTTTTTTTATCCAACAAATTTCCCATCAGCTTGTTTGGAAAAGGACTCTGAACAAACAACAATGAACTTTTTGTTGTTCCTTCTCCTGTAGGAGGGTGTAAATGACTCAGCCTTCTTCTCCAAGATTGCAAAGGCCACAAGAGGATATTTTTTAATTTTCCTGTAACTAAATGGTTTTTTTGTTGGCCTTTTATCATTTGCTGTTTTCATTTGCTTACAATCAAAATAATTTTAATAATCACAAGACGTTTTTTTTTTTTGTAAATTGTCATTAATTTTTCGTCCTCTATGTATACAAAACAAAAATATGATCCCTTCGCTCCATGACAGTTTTCCACATAAATACAAAAAATATGCTGTTATCGTAGCAGTTATTGAGTGAGAACAGCAATAAACAGAGGTCTTGAAGTGTATAGAAATAAAAAAGGCAATTGTTCATACATAAAGTCAAAAGAAAACATGTTTCAAATTTTACAAGCTCAGATATGCAAATGACTAAAGTATCTTTCAGTGTAATAATTCCATATTATGAGTTTCCCTGTTTGAATTCAAATGCTAAATACAAAAAAAACAACACATTTTTAACTGTATTCGAAGTCACCAAGGTACCACTGTAATGCTGTAATATAACCTTTTTTTATTTCTTCTTACTAGTTCAGACAAAGTTTTATCTCTACACTCGCTTTCCACTGTTTGGCTACAAAATCTCAGCATCTAAGTAATAAGAGGAGCGCGGATTTTGTCCTAAGTGGCAAACTTCTTCTGACATCCGAGAGAAGAGCTCTTTAATAATTCAGAAATCTTCTCTTAGGCCATGTATGAATAGCTGACATTGTGAGCAGACGAACCAGACTCTGACATTATGTAGATGCTTGTTCCTGCAACCATTTTCTTCCACAGCCCTTGTAAGAAACATAAAAGTGCCACTGTGACTGACAGTTTGGTGTGACTCTTGTGAGGGGAGGCGTATGTGTGCATAGAGAGGGGTGGGGGTGTAGCTGGATTAATGATGTGCTTGAGAAGGTTCACAAATGAGAAGCCTAATGTTTGTTTCCAAGGACAATGCGGTATTGATCTGCGAGGTATGGCCCTGATTGGAAAACCCAGGTTACCCTTTGTCCTTTTGTTTGCATGGAGCGCACACAAAATGAGAAACACACATCCTAACACACAGGACTTCCACCACCTGAGCCCTGCAAATGTGTCTTGCTTCTCCCAGCGGTTTCATAAATATTAACCTGAAGAGAGTCCTCTCCTCTGTCCGGCTCCAGGTCCAGGTGCTAAGGAGATGACTCCAGGCCTCTAATAAATATTAATGAACTGTGAAATGTTGATTGATTGACCCCGCCATCACTGGCCTACATCACACTTGACTGCCACTAATGTTTATTCATTATTTGGAGAGAGAGAGAATGTTTTAAGAGACAGAGAGAAACCTAGAGGGAGAAAGAAATGCTTGGATTGGGTGAAGGGGATGGCATTGAAAAGCTCAGAGTTTACATCAGGATTATATACGATGTTTAGTGATAGATGAACCTAGCTCTGCTCACTCCCAGGTTGAGCTCCCTCTCCCTTCTGAGATGTGGTTATAATTGAATCTCTCAGGGCTGATAATTCTTCCAGGCCTTTTATGCAGGTAATGCATGGGAGAGAAATTAAACTTAAGAAGTCTAATTTCTCTCTCTGGTTGTCTAAAAAAAAAAAAAAAATTAAAGTGTTTTAATTACAGAGGCTGTTAACATTGATTAGGAGAACGGTGGAGCTGCATTTAAAAGCATTGATCTTTTCCAAATGCAGTGAGACAACCCGGGCCTGACAAGTGATGCAACCCTTAGATCCTGAACACACATCTTCTGGATCCATGTGCTGCCTTTAACACTTGATGACATTGTGGGTATTCTGTTTCAACTTCTTAACGCAGGTAGTGAAAATCCACCATTTATGCTCAGATTTAAATTTTCTCTTGAGGCGTAGCAGGGCCCTTTTCTTCAGCCTACCGTTTTTTTGCTCTGTTTCACTCAGGAGTGCACATACACCCATTGCAGCAATGGTTTTTCAATACAATTCTAGGCCTATTTTTAAGGTTTTGATCTTTAATATGTCAACTTCATTGACTCTGATCATCAGGAATTTGCTGCACAGGCTGAGGGTCAAAATGGTATAAAGAGGATGAATGTATGTACCATTTATTATAAGTGGTCAGATGCCCAGCAAATCTTAGAACCTCAATGTCCTCAAAATATTTGTTTACATTAGTATTTTGAACCTCTGTAAATTGTCTCGAATCTACCAACTCGAGCATATGCATCGCTTGAAAAATTGTGGTTGATGTGCATCATTAAAAGCCAAAATGTGCATGTTAACTTTCAGACAGACATGATGAGCCTGCAGGCTTAAGTTCTGCTTTCTAAGGTAGTAAAATTACAGATTTCACTATTACTGCTCACCATTTCCAACACCCTGCGTTGCTTCATGGTAGGACATGTCAATAGCAAACTCTTTCCTCTTTGACCAATTAAAAGGTCAAAACAAATGCTTCCAGTCATTATGCATTGCTTGCTGGGTTTAGATTTAAAACATTAAAAGGCCTATTAGATTTACCAGTTGCTTTTAGACGTCAAGCTATCATTAGATCCTCTTTTAGAAAGCAAGGGAAGACACACAGTCAATAGCTTTTGCAAATTTAATAACCTAACATTCTGCTTGTGCATGCAACTCTATTCAATACAAGGGTTTAGCCTGGCATATACTTTTACCCTAGAAAAAAATCAATTAGTGTTGTAATTTAAAGCATTGTGTGACTATTAATGGAATTAGTGGAGTATTTCTTTAAAGAAATGTCTGGAATGACAGGTAAACCAGTGGGAGCCTTCTTCAATCCACGTCCCCCTTTTCAACCGAGCAGTTTAAAGTCATAGTTCCCCTGAGAGACAATGAGAAATGATATCTGTTGACTTTCATACCAGGATGCCTGTCAGTGTACTGCAATCTTGAAAAAAGAAATGCTTCTAATGAAAAAAAAACAAAAAACTTAATAAACCTTTAAAGGTTTAAATGAGTTGAATAAGTTTGTCAGGCTTGGTACTTTTATTGTTGTGTGATTTAAGAAAAAAAAAAAAAGTTGTTTTTTTCCTTAACCTTGCTCTCTCACTGATATGAATGAAGTGTACCATCTCCTGTCAAATATGGTGAAAGACACCGCTTCAGAGCCCTACTTTCTGTCAATCCTTCAGCATCTATTGCTTATCAGGAATGACTATTACATCAGGTAAGTTCTGTTTGACTTTTCATACTGCTAGCCTTGTATTGACTGATGACCTGTTGAGACTCTCGCTTTCCTCCTCTATAGCTTCTTGACTTGCTGTTTCATAGCAGATACAATACCTACTAACCCATCAATTTGATTTTACTTGCATCATGGTACATCTTTAACTGATGCCTGTAGATTTTCCACCATCTCCTCACCCGTTTGAAATCTGCCTTTAATAAAGGTGTTGAACAGCCATAAATGTAAAGGCCAATTTTTATCTGTGACCTTTGATTCAATTAAATTCAGTTTATTTATATAGTGCCAATTCACAACACACATCATGTCAAGGCACTTTACAGAAACAGAATTGGTTCAATGTTTTCTATTTAAGGAAAACCAGCTGACTGCATCAACTCATTGACTAGAAGGCAATCCCTCGCACGGAGCATGGTTGTAGCGACAGTGGAGAGGAAAAACTTCCTTTTAACAGGAAGAAATTATTAGAACCAGGCGCAGTGTTAGCAGCTATCTGCCGAGGCCGCCTGCGTTTCAAGGAGACAGAAGCAGGCATACAGAAAAACGCAGAGATTTTACTTTCATGATAAATACAGGTAGCTCCTAAAGGTGTATAGTTTTGTAGGGTTGATCGATTAACGTACCATAAACTATCGGAATCTCAACTGGCTTAGTATCAAATTCTGTAGCAACAGGATCGCTAGTTGTGATAAAGTATAGATTTATAAGAATCTTGTAAGTTCACTTCAGTTTTTCTTTGTGTGAAACATTTAATGAGATGAATCATCTGAAGATCAAACAGACTAATTTTGTTTTACTGCCATATTAAAGGTTAAGATCAGGGCTGGTGAGAAGACTAATGGAAATCTGAAAATATTGAAGGTCCTTTTAAATCTATTGTTCCTTTTTTTATGAAACAACTAAAACTACTAACGTTTAAGTCCTACATTATAGGGATCCAGACTGACTTCTTGGTAAAAGTTTGATAAATATCTGTCTGTTCAGTAATTTAGTCCAGATTTGTCAAGATTTTAGAAACATAAACGTAAATCAAAGTGTCAACTTCTTCCTAAGTGTCCGATAAGCTCAAACTATATTTGGAGGTAGGACGAAAATCTATTCAATTGACATTACATATCTTATAGACAACATTTGTGCTTCAAAACAATAGCAAAAAAAAAAAAAAAAAAACAAGATTGAAAAAAAAAAAGAAATACAGAAAGTTTAGCACTCTATGATGCTCATTGACGTCACATCAATGAGAAAATTATGTCATTATTTCAAGGTCAGGTTTTGTCCGAATATTTTAGATTTTGAATTGGAGGTTATCAAATGCAGTCTAGACTCCAATCTTGTTAAAAAGCTCTACTCAATGTTTTGCCTGTTTATTTTGGGATTGTGAAAATGTAATTCACATTACTTTAACAACTGATCTAACATAATGTCTATACGTGAGTAAAAGATAATTTTTATCAAGTATCTGAGACAAAGATCTGCTTCCTTGCGGAGGAGTATGTAGGTAACTTGGTAATAAAAAGTTTTTTTTTCTTCCCACAAATGATTTTTCTTATTCTTTACAGAATATAAATAAGTTCAAGACCGAAGACAGTATGTTACGAATAAAGTGCAAAATAATATCTCGAAAAGGCAAAAAGCTAGAACGATGTTTCCTCCAAGCAGTGTTCCCTGACAAGACGTCTGCATGCCAAGAGTTTCTTTATTCAATCCTGTTCTAAAATATTAAGTTATTTTCTCATTTACACAAAGCAGTGTTATTTTGACTTTATTGTTGATACACTCTTTCCACAATTCGTAACCTTTTTCATATCTTCAAGCTTTCTTTATTTAATCATTAAACAGGTAAGCAGTGACATTATTTTTTTGTTTTTTTCCCCTCATAACTCTATTCTGTCATAGGTTTTAGTTATTAATCCAAAGATAATTGTTTTCTGTTTACTCTCTACCATATAGGCAACACTGCTTACTTGTAATAGAAGTGTTAAATCATTGAAATCTGCATGTTAGATTCTTTAAATTGGTGGATTTCCAGCCAACAGCTTTAAATGGCAGAGTGTAGGTTTGTTTCATAGGAGGAAGGAGTTGTTAAATAGTATGCATGCACTCTGTGTTTGCTCTGTCTGAATGATCTCTATCCTGGGAGCAGTTTTAGTCAAAACCAATCGCTTTGGTTTTGAGAAATAAAGCCACTCTAAAATTTAAACTCTGTTTTTAGACTGATTTTTGAAATGCAGATTAGCCAGCGACTGTAAAACGAGACAGACTCCTTTTTAATAAAGAGACTGAATAATTCCATGCTGTGTCAGAAGTTTTGGCAGAACTGAGACCTAAAAAAGTTTGAAGATAAGGATAAGAGGAGGTAGATGAATTTAGCAAAGACAAGTTGCTGTCCCCTCGGAGTCATGCATAATACATTCCTCATTTATTTGGTGGAAGTGAGAAATAGAATTCATATTAACTATCCAGTTCCGCCAAGTCTACCTCTGCTCCTTAGAACATGTAACACTCCGTGGAGCAGAAGCTGTTATGATCTTTTTATCTGGATATTTGGTTCTGTTCAATTTTTAAACCTAGAGCACAAACAATAAAAGCAGAAAGGCACCAAGATTGAGATATCTGACTCCCCATACATCACAGCTGCAGAGTTTGGATGATATAAGATGTATGAATAATGTGGTCCATGCAACATTTTCAGATAAAAGCTGTTTATTTCCTCTGTCTCAAAAGGATTTAAGTTTTGCAGTTGAACTAAGTGCATTTTGGTGAGATCTAAGAATTTATACCAATTTACAAAAATTCTTGTGGAGACTTCATAATTTTCTGTCAGTCTCACTATACAGTAGTTAAAGTAATCATATCCCTTCAACTTGATCACATTCTTTATGTGTTAACTACAAAGGGAAGCAAAAGATTCAAATTCTTTACAAATAAAAATCATATCATTAGTTTAACATCAGTTAGTATTTAGCCCCGTTGAGCCAATGCTTTAAAATGCCACCGTTGGCTGTTAATACATCTGCAACTCTTTTTTTTCCCAGTTGCCCTCCAACAGCTTCTGCATTTTTAGAGATGGAAATATTGACAGTATGCATTTTTAGGTACTGATCGATTTTCACTTTGATTCCCTTTCATATCCTCTTAGTCTCTTTTTTTCTAAACAGTAATGATCTCATCCCTCTCACCTCTAATGATTATCTCAGCATCATGCTTCCACCACTGAGGTTCACTGTGAACCATGGTTCTCATCGATTTGTAAGGATTTTCACCATGAATGTTGCCCGCAATATTCAACTTTAGTCTCACCTGACTAGAGCACCTTCTTTAAACATCTCTGTCTCCGACAAGTGGTTCTTCTTATGCCTTTATTCCACAAGTGGTTTCTTTTTTTTTTTTCTAGTATTCCATAAAAGCCAGTTTTCTTGAGTAGATAGCTTATAGTTTTCCTGTCCTTTAAAGAGCTGGGAGTACCTTCAGAGCTGCCAGTCATGTTTTGGCTTGTTCTCTTATTAATGTTCTACGTTTTAGTGAACAGCAGGATCTTCCTACCGTTACAGTTAGGCCATACTCTATTTTTGATTGACACTTTTGATATCTCTTGGAATTCAAAGAACTGGGATTTTGATTAGAAACCTAAACTTCATAACTCTTTGTATAATTGGTTTGATGTGTTCCGTGTTTCTAAATGATACTGTTTTTTTAACTGATTTTTAACTTTAATTTTCACTGCACACGTCTAAGATTTATGTAGTTCACAGGTTTTGAAAACTGTTTTTCCTTTTCATTTCACTTCCCAGTGACATATTTGTTTTAGGATCCAAGAAAATAAAAAAAATAAAAAAACAGATAAATAAATTAACTTTTGCAAGGAACCATATTTTCCATTTTATGGTTTGTTTTTTCAGTTCTAATCAGGTCTACACTCATTACCATTACAAACTTAAGGTAGCATAGCATTAAATAATCCAATAAGGGACAAACCTGCTCTGTCTACTATAAAATCTAGCAAACCATAAGTTGTTTTGTTTTCCTCCTCCTGGGCAGGATTTGTTTTTGATAATTAATCTTTCCTTACAAACAAGTTTAATGAATTGGAACGCAACGAACCCACCCAATAAATATAGAGCAGATCTGCTCTTTTGGAGCCTGGTGATATGGGGATTAGACCGGTTATGTGGAGCAGGGCTGGATCAAGTGGCTGGGGCTGAGCTGAACCACAAGTTATCACTAGAAGAAATGAAGGTGCCAAAAGAAAAAGAAGAGGTTGAGGATGATGCTGAGGACATATGCTCGCTTCGGGAGCCCAGCCCTTCCCACTGTGGAAGGGCAATGACAGTTCTGGGTCACTCTCTCCGTCTCTAGTTATCTCCACCCAGTCTCTATCTGCCTGGTGGCGGCAGCGGAGGACAAGGGGAAAATAGTGTGGCTTATTGAGATAATAATGTGGTGCGCATTCGTGACAGTTGTAAGCCGAGTCCCACAGTGCTTAAGCAATGTTGTGTAAGCTTTCACCAGCTTGTGCCAGTCATGAGTGGGTGAATCCACCAGCTCCAGATTAATGCTTGGCATTTTCACTTTCAAACAGCTACCTAAAAGCTGGGTTACTCTTATTTACTTTGGCTGAAGATTTCTTTCTTTGTTGCAGTTGGTTTTCTTTTTCTATTTCTAGTGCGATAGGCCCTGTCCACCCACAGTATATCACCAATAAAAAAGTAGTCTGAAATAAGCTGTTAGAGTAAACGGGCCAGCTCTATTTTATTTAAGGTTTGATGTTAACAAAGTCCTACTACTTTTCTTTTCATTTTTTCACTGACATATTTTTTTTGTGTCTTTTTGGACCTAATTAATGCACCTGGCAGCAGATACTTTGTTCACATTTCTGTCTGCTGTAATCAGTTATCACATTTCAGCAACATTCTTAGAGGACCGTGTTTAAAGATCAATTGGTCAATCTAGATTAAGCTAAATAGAATATTAAGCTCTAGCATATTTATGTGCAGAGGTGGATCTTTTACTGTCATCCACTGGTGTAAAATAAAACACATTTAGATGTAGCTGTTTCCTTAATTGTAAATTTAATAGAGATGTGAGGGACCTAATTGTTCCATCAGGTGTCTGTTTTCCTGATGCTAATAACTTTCCCCTTTAATAGTTATGCTGCATCCATTTGCTTCAGGTTTATCTATCCAGGCTTTTACACACATTACTGAAGTACTCTAGGATTATACACAGATCATTGTTTATCCTCTGGGAAGATATGATGGTGAGGAAGGCCTTGTTTTTCTCTTCAGGCCATTTGGCTCTCTCACAAACTCATGATCACTTTGATCCATTGTTAAATGCAGTGAATTATCTCTATAGTATACGTTTGGATTTTACAATGTAACAGTTAAGTTCAAAGTTTACATTTAATATTACCCATGTTAAATATGTGTGCAAGAGTTGATTCACTGGTCCATTCATTTTGCACCTTGCACTTGGATAAGTTACTTACTATCAACGTGCTGATCAAGCTTAATAACCCATGTAAAAAAGAAACAGCATCATCAAACAGGTTCTATTGTTGCCAACATTCAATTAGGCTGGTCCTGTAAAATTGGAGCACGTCACCTCAGCTCTAAATTTGTTAAGCTGGTTCCTTATATCTCAGAGAATATATTCTAAAGTACCTTTGGCATTCTATAAATCATTCAATGACTTAGCTTCAAAATGTATGACTGCCTTCTGGTACTTTATGAGTAAGTGTAACCACCCAGACCTCTATGGTCTTCTGGCTCTCATCTGCTTTCCATACCTGGAACCAGAACCAAACCAGGAGAAGCAGCTTTTAGTTCTTATGCTCCACCAATTTGGAATAAACACCCGAAAAGCAGTAAAACCCTTGCTTGCTTAAAACCAAGATTAAAGATACATTTATTTAGAATGGCCTTTAACTGCTATGGAAACATTGTTAGTCAGGTTTTCAGGCCAACCGTCTTTCTTCTTCTTATTTTATAAATCTTTTTTTTAAACAATCATTTTCTAGTTAGTTATTTAGGGTTGTCCTTTTTGTAGTACAGTATACTTTTCTTTTTGTTATTTCCCATGTATAACACTTTAAATTGTGTTTTCACTGAATCATGCTATACAAGTAAACTGGCCTTGCTTTGCCTCATCAATGGTTTGTAACAGTACCAGCCTCTTTGAGATATTTTGAACGATACTCTTACTGTATGTAAAGCAGCAAATATCTTGTAGCTGTTTCCTTGGTTTTTGAAATTACCACATCACCTAAGTTGCATATTTTCTTGTCTTGTTTTTCTTAAGTCACAAAGACATCTTAGGCATTGTTTCTTACTCATAAACTAAGACTAGAAGGAAAGGTTAACTGACAAGCATATAATACAGTGTAGGTGTGCCTGATCTTTGCACAGTTGATTTAGTCATTAGATTTCTCAAAGGCATATCCACTGCCATAAAAATATAATTATTTTTAAGCCTTATTGCAAATATTTACCAGGGAGGTCACAGGGCTCAGTATTTAGTAGTTTTCCAGCTTATATCACACAATCAGGTTTAAATCAACATCTGTCTGCTCATCCATCCATCCTGTAACTTTTAGATGAATCTCTTCTCTACCACACCTGCACCTAAAGGCTGAATCCCCTCATTTAGCTCAGCAGAGGCTAACGAGGCTAACTAGCCAGCAGAGGCATGTTAACGAGCCACTCATTTGATTCAGGTGTGTTAAACATTGGGTTCATCAAAAAGTTGCAGGATAGTAGCTTTTGAGGACTGGACCTGAGCATCCCAGCTGTAGGTCCACCAGAGGCTGACTGATCACATGATATGAGATGTGGGTTTAATTTTAAACTAAAGTTGTTCTTTTGTCTCTTTAATTCTTCATATGTTTATATATTAAAGTTAAGTTTTATTTTATTAGGCTGTTGGATTTGGGATTACCAAGCCTCACCATGTTTAAAACATTTTTGACTTGCAAATCAAAAGACATTTAGCCTTTGGAAGAATAATAATAAAAGAGAAGACTTGTTTCAGTTTTAGATTTAAACATCAAACGCTGGCCTGTGTCAGGGTTAGAAAATAATTACTTCTCAGTTTGGAGCCCAGCTTAAGATGGCATTGTATTTGCTAAATGTCACTTGCAATTAAAGTTGATAATGTTACACAGAAAAGGTCACATACCAACCTGCTCGGTGGCAGCGTACTTTCAGGGGTGATTCACAGTCCGTCTTTGACGAAGCCACGCTCTCAGTCACACTCCCAGCTGTCTGGCATGTTTTTCCTGGCCATTGTGATTTTAATTACACACATTATACTGATTAGATTTACATTTCAGTTTTTACGGTCGTCCTAATTGGCAAAGAAGATTGCAAATTATGCGAGGGGCAGGCTCAGGCTTGTCTGCCGTCAGTCACCTTGAAATGGACAGACGATCATGTGTTGGGTTTCTGTGTCACCATTAATCTACTAATTTCATGATCGGGTTGAAGCAAGTGATCAAATTTAATGGTGCACCTATTTTCTCCAGTAGGAGTAGGCTTTTTTGCCATGGCATTTTGTGACCTCTACTTGGATAAGGGAATCATTTGTGGCTAATTAGCCTCGTGGGCTTTGTGTCACTCATACCTTTTTTTGTCTAATGGTTCTGCTTTGTCTTGTGACCTCTCCCAGACCTCAGTACTACAAGGTGATCGAGGAATGCATATCACAGGTGGTTCTGCATCGCAGTGGGACGGACCCCGACTTTGGCTACAGTAAACGATTGGATGTGGACTTCACCCAGCTCATTGGTAACCTTAGAACTGCTTCATGCTTTAAATATCATTGAAGAGCAACCTTTTGTTAGTAAAATAATATCTCTGTTGCAGTATAATCATAAGTTTAATTAGCAAGATAATTACACATATGCACATTTAGGTTAGTTTGCCCCAATCTGAATGTAATGATTCAACCAAGTGTTTAAAATGGATTATGGATTGGCATAAACCAACCCTCTCCCTCCTGAATATGATTTAATTCCCATCAACAACCATAATGTTCCTTTTTTCCCTCTTTCCATAAAGCATTTCTCTTCTCATCAGCCTTTTTTGTATGAAGACAGTCAGCATGTAAACATGCTTAATGTCTGGATTGTGCATTTGTCTCCGATTTTCATAGAGAGATGCACTATATCCAGTCTTTAGGTAATTTCATAATGAAACAGCCCAGCCTTATAGAAACCTTGACTGTTCTACAACTAAAGTAATTACAAATAGTTTGCATTAAAAAAAATTAAATAAAGTGTAAGACTGTTCTAGTCTTTTGTAGATTTGTTTGAAATATGATTATTTGATACCTTAACTTGTTATATGTAAAAAAAGACTTTGCATGTCTTGTTATTATTATAAACTTACATAAAAAGAGATTAAACTTTTCAGAAAAGTATATTTGATTGTGTCAAATGAATCATATAATAGAGTATCTTGGCTGCTTCTGTTTGTATTCCTTTGTGTTTGTTGAGTCTTGCAGACAGCCTTCTTTTTGAGCTGCATTTCCAATGAGACTTTTTTTTTTTTTTTTACTTGAACAAATAAGATAAATTGACTTTGTCTCACAGTGTTGTCACTAGCTAGTGAGTTGCCAACAAAGGGTCATTAAAAGTTTTTTAAACTTATCCCCTGAGAACAGATGCTGCATGGAGCTTTCTGTCTCACTTTGCTGAAGTTAAATAAAAGTCACATGGGGTAGAAATGTTTTCTATTTTAGCATTTTTTTTTTTTGCTTATATGTTGAATTTTATTTTAAACTGTGTTTATTGGTCATTAAATATGTAAAATGTGTTCTAACATCCAGTCTGAAGGCTTTGTTTGAGTTCAGCTTTTGATACACTTCCTCCCAATTATCCATCAAACAAGCTCCACTTAATGCTTTACCACCCATTCACTCTGCCTATTGGAAATATTGAAAGGGCTGAAAAATGTTCAGTTTTTATGTTTCACATTATCATAACAAAGTGAATTGCTTGTTATTGGAATTTTATGAGATGCACCAATGCAAATTAATGCATAACATGAATGAATTAGAATTAGAAGAATACATATTTTCTTCAGCTTTTTTTGCTTACCTTTTCAAATAGAAAGGTAAAAAGTGTGAAATGCATTTCTTGCACCCTGCTTGTTGAAGCTTTCATTTTTTCTTTGCTGATACGTAAGGGATTTATAATCTGAATTTTCTGCATTGTTTGCTCCTGTTTCTAAACACAGATTGAGTTAATACATTGAAGAAGCAGTATTTACTGCAATAACAGCTGCAGGTCCTTATTGGTAAATTTCTACAAGCTTTGCACATGTAGAGAGAGAAAAAGTCTTGTTCCTCCTTCTTTTAAGAATCGCCAAAGTTCAGTGAGATTGTATTGAGAACATCTGTGAACATCAAGTTCAGTACGTTGCCACAGACCTAGGCCTTGACCCTGACAGAGTCATTCAAACATTAAAAGGCTTCGGTCTAAGCCAATCCTTTGTAGCTTTGGTTCTGTGCTGAGGCCTCCTGCTGGAAGGTAAACCTGTAAAAGTCTCAGGTTTTTTGGAGCCTCTGTATATTGATTGGCATCAGTTCTGTCAGTGACAGACTCGAGGCATTATCCCACCTGAACCCATGGTCACCATAGGATCCTTGGCAGCAGATGAGGAAGAACCTAACCCTGCAATAAGCTTAACCCCCGACCCCCTCGGATGTTTTGCTATGTCTTCATGCTATTTGTACACCAATGTTCTCTATCAAACCTTAAAAAGCCATTAAATGACCCAGGGAGGCTCCGTTTAATGCTTAGCTAACACAAAAAGACAATAGGTTGCCCTGCATTTAAGTTATGGCTGTTTAAGTAAAAATTCCTGTTGCATTTTTCATATTTTGTTTTACCACCTTCAATCTTAGAAATTTACTTTGGTGGCAACATGTGATAAAATGTATAAACACTGTTGCGAGCACCTCATAAGATTTTTGAAATAACTTTTGCCAGAGATACGAAAATGAGACTGCATATATGTAGTCATTTTATATGAAAGGCAAATCAATGAAGAATAAGAAGAAAGTCGTATTAAATGATATGGAGTTACAGTGCACCCTTGCAGTTGTAGACTGGTTCTGTGTTCAAATAACTCAAGTTTATTTACTATACATGTGAAGCACATAAACAAAAATGATCTAAATATCTAAATGAAAAATAAGTGCAATGCAACTGAAGTCTAAACTCTGATTTTTCTTATGCTTCAGACTCACAACATTACATAGCAGATGAAATAGAAAATTACTCTTTTAAATATGTTTCAGTCAGTAAATTAAAACAGAAAATAGAAGAAAGGGACATGAGCGTAACGCAACCCGTCTTCAGGTTTAATACATTTAAGACATCATGCCAGCTCTTTGTTCTCTGATCTGAGGTATTGGGAAATCATCTGATATTCTGTGCATTCTGAGGAACTTTGAATTAAGGAGTTTAAAATTATTCCTTTGGGAGATGATTAAGTGCTGGCTTTCTTAAAATACATCTTGGCAGTCTTAATGAAAAAAGACTCGTGGTACAAGACATTTTTAACACTTTCTAAAATAAAAAACCCTCACAGCCCAGGCGAGTTGGCCAAATCGGGTTTGCACACTTTCAAACGTAGATGCCAGCTTATGTCAAAGTCTCACAATGCACCCTAGATGCCTTTGAAGTATCTCACGCCCATCTTGCCTTGCAGATCAGTGTGTGGATAAAGCCAAAGTTGAAGAAAGTGAGCAGAAGGCTGTGGAGTATTCTAAAAAGGTGAGACATTAATCACTCAACCCCCCCTACCCCCCTTCAGATTGGTGAGCTCCAATCAGCGACATTTTTTCTTCCCCGGAGCACCCAGACAATCTATTGATTTTGCATGCCACGATCAATAGCTGGCTGTGACGCTACATGATCTGTATCAGCATTACAGGAATCAATGGTGATGTTCTGATGTATATTTATTTGTGCACGAGCTCGGGGAGAGTTAAGTTATGAGGAAAACCTTTGATGTCATTTGGTATTTCAGGCTGGACCTCACTTATTGGTTCAGGGAGATTCAGTTACTCGCTGTGGTTTGAAAAAGTGTTTGCAACCTTACAGATTTCTTCGGTTTTCAACCGTTTTACTCGGAGTGCAGTGTGTCAAATCATCAAATAAAGATTATTCGGGTAAGGATACGAGGAATTGAAAAAAAAAAGAAGCAGTTTTTAGATAGTTGTTAAGAGAGAGGAAAAAAACAACAACTATCCAGCATAAAATTTGATTATTAAATAGAACTTCCTGTGCCTCCTTGGTGCTCACAGCCAACAGGCATCACAGAAATTAAAGAATTTTAGCCTAAATGACCTTATTTGGAATTTTAGATTGACTTTGATGTAGCTAATCTTAAACTTTAATTTAGATTTATTCTCAGCTATTTAGTATTTTATATCATTATCTTTCTTCTTACCTAAATAGACCTGAGATTTAGATTAAAAATTAAGGATGTTATCTGTTAAAAGTAACATTCATGTTTCCATTTTTTATATTGTAGCATGTTGTCTCGGTCCTAAAGCAGCCTCAGTATGTCGAACTACCACCTGCTTATTGGTGTTCTGGTCATCTATTGAAAGGCTGTATGCCTGTAATGGCCAAAAAAAAACTATGGTTTTGTTTTGTTAGATGTTAACATGCTTATGAAACAGCCTTGGAGATCATGGAACCTTTTTTTGGCACATGAGAAATTACCCTTACTGTTTTTATAGAACAGATGGTTGTTTTGCTGTGAAACTTTTTTTTTTAACCTAGTTTGTTTAGAATTATAGAAACATGGAATCAGATCCATGCTACTTTTTAAGATCATCGTTAAACTTCCAGTTTACAAACCAGCTCTATTTATTGATTCTACAGGTTTAACAATCATCAGTCTCAGAGGCTGCTAGTAAAACTGAATTGAACTTTCCAGCTTTTGTGGTAAATCAGTTACCTCATATTTTAAGTTGTATAATTAATTTTTCACTAAACGTGACGTTCCTCTGAAAAACACACTGATCTTTTTGGTCAAATGACCTCAGAGGTGTTGTTGAAACAACAAAGTAAAACAAAAGACATCTGAAGTTAAGCATCTACTTTTTTGTGCTCTGTATTAAGGAAAGATACAGTCTATACTTCAACTACCTGTCCGCTAACTGCAGGGGTCCTGAATGTTTTTTCCTTGAGACCTGTGTCCTGGTGTTCCACTGTGCACCCTGTTGGGCTGGTGAATTCATTGTTACGACATACCTTGGTTTTTGCAAAGGTTAGATCCATCAACGTGCATAAAAACAAAGCTCTAAACGTAGACAAAGGATGACAGGACTCTAGGGCTGTAAGGGTTGCGGATTGAAACTTAAAGTGTAAAGTGGCCTGTTTTCTGTTACTCTTGATTCCCCCATGTTCACTCTCCTGCCGCTCACCTTTACGTCCCTCTACACGTTTGTTATCTACATGCAGACATGCTTGTTTTTCTTCTCTTGCAGTTTGATGAGGAGTTCAGTGCTCGACAGGAGGCCCAGGCCGAGTCTCAAAAAAAGGAGGAAAAGATCAAGGAGCTGGAAACCAAAATCCAAACTCTAGAGGCCCAGGTAAATCCACAAAGGACGTTCAAATACTCCACAAGAAAGCTATAATGCCATCAAAAAAAGTAGCATAAAGAGTTATTTTGATCAAGCTGAGATGAAAGAGGTTATATTCTTTTTAAACATTTACGTAAATGAAAATGTGTCTGAAAAATCATCGCATCAAGAAGTAATGGTTCCCTGACAAACAGCCTGATTGGGTCAGAAGTATATCTTTTCACCCCACTTACAGATGTGAAGGTGCTGTAAGTGGGAGTTATCATCCGTGCAAGACCACTTGATTTAATAAAGGGTCAATCTCCTTCCTAAGTTGTAGCTCTTTGTAAGCGAGAATTGCTTTATTGAAGCTTTTCCTATGAAATTCTATCATTACAGGGATGGATTGCATTTCTTTTCCTGGCTTCCACATTGTTTCTTCCCAGGCAAAACCCTCCATTCTGAGCACTGAAAATGACTGCTATTTCCCCTTTTAACGCAATTTAAAACCCTTTTTAGGACTGCCTTGGGATAAAAGGCCAGTTTGGCTCTCTTCTTTGAGAGTTTAATACAAACCAGCATGGAGGAATGGTATTGCTTGATTCATTTCTGATGTTGCTTTTTTCGCCAGAATTTCATTTACTGTTGCTTCTCTTAGCTCCTAAACATTGAATAAGTGATGTTTAGGTGGTGGTTTAAGAAGTTTTTGCAGCTCTTAGATTCTACTCTGCGGATGTATTTAGTCCTGAAATGTTTGATCTGCTTTAACCTTACCAGAGCTCACATTCTTTCCTGGTCTGAACCTTTTGTGCGGTTATGAATAACCAAAAGTAAACCCTGTTTTCAGACAAAACAGCCGATCGAGACCCATTATTTGAGATGGTCTCTGTCTGCTTCCAAATGGACTTTGGTGCGGTTCACTTAAGATGTTAATGGAAACTGGCCTTGATTCTACCTAGCCACATAAAACATATGTCTCGTTGAAATCAGCAAGCCAGCGTAGCAGTAGACATATTCAAATCATACCTGGTCCACCATCTGTTGCTTAGCAATGCCACCACCTGCATGCTGTGGGTTCCCTTTGGATTGCACTCATTCTCAATGCCATTCCAAAATTAGAAATATGTCTCAAAACCTTCACTGAGCGAGCTGCTTCTGACTCTCATAATGTTTTTGCAACTAGGATAATGACATAAATTCAGAAAGACAGCAGAGGTGCTGCATGCAGCATCTTCAGTAGTTGCCCCCCCTTTCCAAGTCTATGCTCTACTTGCCCTTATAACTTCTAACCTGAGTCTCGGTTATCACATGCATATTTGTGTTACAATTTATGGTTTGCTTTCAAAAAGCATGCGACACAACACAAAGCAACACAAATCACTGCTTGGGGTCCAGGCAAAAAGGCACACCAATGGACTCTTCTGGTGAGAGTACACTCCCTTTTCTCCATCTCTTTCTCCATAGTTTAGTATATTTCATGGGGTTTCTCAGCTAAAGTCATGCAAGCAGTATTCTGTGACATCCTAACCTTTATAAACTCTATAACACTGAGTTACTGACAAGTACAAACCAAGGATTCTTCTACTTTTCATATGCACATAAATACTGTCACTAATTTTAGTAAAAAACAAGGCTTAAAAGTCTTTATTTGGAAGGAATAGTTATATGTAAGAATTAACGGTTTAGAATAAAGCTGACGTTACCCTGTCACCTGACCAATTTGAGAAAAATGCAACCAAAGTGGGCAATGCAAAGAGATACTGAGGACCAAGAGTGGGCATAAACAGAAGGGATTAAATGTTGGTGTGTTCAGAGCTGTTAAAGTAGGTAGGTTAAAGTACTGTTGATACAAATAGCATTCATCTTGAATGCAGAAATCAGGTAAAGCTGTGCTGCCCTGGCTTTCTGATTTTAATTCTAATTTTGTATAGCAGACAATATAAAGTTTCCTCATGAGATCTTTGAAATTCAGACTTTCATGTACAAATACAATATAACGGACCACATGAATGCAGCACCAGTGGGAATCTAATGCTATCACAAGGGAGATTGTGATTATTATTATTTTGGCCTCTTAGATAAATGAAAAGCATCATTATACCTTAACCTAACGTGAGAGTATAAAGAGATGTGTTAAACTGTGTCTTCTAACTAATAGGGAAAATTCAACCATAGTGGCCTCCCTGCAGCCCATCGAGGGCAGTACTTACAAGATTTTAGCGAAACATGCAAAGTTAAACAAGTTTACTTTAAAATCTCAATAGGTGCACAGTGACATAAAGATAGTAGCCTTACAACCCATTTTATAGTTTCTTGCTGAAAAAAAAAGTTGATTTGAGTTTCAGTTATTTTTAAAGAAAATAGAAGAAGCATCAATCCCAATTGTGTGGTCGATTGATCCTGATCCACGGATTCTGTAAAGCTCTAACCTGCTATCTTTATTTCTTCTAATAAAGAGCAGAGGCAATGTCACACTAATCATAATAGGGCATAGTCATTGTAAATAATGTGGTTTTCTATTGTTAGCTTTTAGCATGTTAGCATTACTAAAACAGCAGTCTCAATATGATTACCAATAGATTTTAGATTCTAGGTCCAATTTTTAAAATGCACAAAATGCTGTCAAGATTGCCAAACACTGCATTATTGATGATGATTTTTACCCTGTTTAGAAGCTTAACCAAAAAAGAAAAAGTCTAACTTTAGGGCTTGCACACTCAATGATAGTACCTGGCTTATAGTGCATTCACTATTCAATTTTTTAGAACCCATTCCACGTTTGAGGAACTTCTTTAGACAAGTCATTACCCGTCTGAGCGTAGAACCTTCAGATCAGTATGAGGACATGCATTTAGTTTGTCCATCAAAGCCACGGATCACTGCCGTCTTTATTTCTGAATATGAATTAAGTTTGAGCTAACCCTAACCTTTCATCTCCTCGACAGAATTCCTGTCAGATATTAAAATACAGGCATGTCTGAGTTGCCTCTCTTCACCTTGTTTTTGAACAAACATGTTTAATGAGAGTCTTCCTCCAGAACTTTGGCATTGTAACAAGCAGCATGTTTGATGTGTGTGTTTGATTATCTCCCAATTGAGTTGATAGGAGGTTCGGCTGGTAAACAGCAACAAAGGACACTGAAATCACAAGAAAATAGAGCTCTTCCACTATTCCCCAAACCTTTTGCTTGCAATCATTCAAGGCAGGAGAGAAAGCTATTCTTTGAATCACATCTAGAGGTGATGAATAATGTAGCACTGCAGAGGTTTGTTGGAACACACTGAGCCAGCCCATTAATAGGTTTTAACAACCTGGCCAGCTTGTAGCTGACCCAGCAAGGACCCCAGAGGACCGGGAGCTGTAGTAGACTGCTCTCCCTGTCTTTTAATGCCAGACTGTCTATCCTGACTGATTATAAGATTTGACTTAAATGACAAAGGCAGTCCAGCTCACAACAAAGGAACCTCTTTGTGAGCTTTGTTGGTGTTGGGATGGCTTGAATCAGAGTACATCTCTGAAAATTGAAGTATAAAGTTTAATTTCCAAGTATCTTATGTAAATTCTGCAACCTTTCCCTCATTGTCCATTATATTTCAGAAGTTCTGAATTGCAAAAAAAGGTTGCTTAAAGCAAACCTTTACAACCATAGGACTTCTAAATCAAGAGTTAGCCTGCAGAAACCTTTTGTAAGGAGGGTAGGACACAAAAAGTAGTTGCCAAAGAAGTCTGGTAGAAGAAAAACATGTGGAAGCAATAGGTGGATATGCAACATGGAAAACAGTGATAAGCAAAGCCTAATAAAGTATGGGGAGTTCCTCAAAACATGGACTGTGGTGGGAGTCATGGCTTTGAGAGGCATTGCTGACTGACATATCAAGGTTATTAGCTGTAAGTGTCAGTTTCCTTGCTTTAAGCTAGTCCTGACTGGAAGATCTGATAAGAGTCTAATAAAAAAAAAAAACAACAAAAAAAAACACACTTTTTAAAGAGGAAGCTAACATTTCCATTGTATTGCAGATGTACTGTTAGACTAAATCCTGGCTCAGAAACCAGGACTGTGTCACTTACTTCCTTTTTTCCCCCCCATCTCATAATCTATTCTTGGTTTTAACACCATGGCATATGAAATAAAGATATTCAATAGCTGTTAATATTGCATTTTCATTGGAAAGGTTTTTAAAGAATAAAAAGATTCTCTTTCCACTCAACTAAAAGTTTTCATTTTTTCCATTTTTAGAGTGCACATTTATGTTCCTACTGTCTTCATAGAATTTTAGTTGAACTGACTTCGTAGAAAATATTTTGATATCTGTAGAATATGTTCCCGTTCTCTTACTTTTGGCAATATCCTGAGAGTGAATAATCAAAGCACAATTCATTCCTTTCGAAGAAAAGTATATATATATATATATATATATATATATATATATATATAAACAGCATGCTAAAATCAGTGCCAATCACACATCTAAAGGTGCAAAGTTCAAATGTATTTTTGTGATACCAGGAAGAGAAAACAAATGGAAATGGAAGGTTTTTGAAGGAGCTCCAACTGTCAGAGATGCTGTGCAGCGTCTCTTTTATACAGTCATCGCTTTAGTCTGATGCTCCTTTGAAGATAGATTACATCTTGTTTTAGGTGTAAAAGTACATCACACTCAGCCTTTTGCACATGAAAAAGCTCATTGTGACATAATGCGAATAAAGCCTTGTACGACCATTGTCATTAACTGTGTAAACCCCCCATCCTCTTCTCATTTCTCTCATGTCTTTATTGTGTTTGCTGTGAATTTTTTATCTGTTGAAGTTTACTAGTGTTCTTTTCATTGTCTATCTAACCCAACCCTCATTTGTGGTTCTTTGTTGTGCTGCCTGTTTGCTGTTTCATGCCTGTTCATGTGGTGTGCATCTCTGGTGTATGTGTGTGTGTGTGTTTTCTGTACAGTTAACTGTAGAAAATGACAGACTCAAAGAGGCTCAGAGACTCATCAGGGAATTTGAAGCAAAGGTGGGTGACTTTGTTGCATGCTTGGCCTTTCGCACATAAACCCTCCAATTAATCATCTTCAAATCTTCAAATCCAAGTGTCTTGTTAAGGAATAAAGGACTGTGCTGCTTTAAATTCTCAAGTTGATTGTGAGACTGATTTATTTTTTATTTTTTCCTGGTTACATGGTTGCCTTTGAGTCATAGGCCCTGTTGAGAACTGGTACCAACCTGAATCCTGCCAAATTTGTATTAAATCAAATCCTGCAAGGCACAGCCATGCACAGCTGGGACCAACATCTATTCTCAGATATATTTTTTTGTTATTATATTTATCTCCCAAAAAAAGCAAAACAAAGTCACATAACTCACTGAACTGTCAGCTAAAAAAAAAACATAAAAAAAACTGTTATTCACACTTTGACATTTCTTAGATTCTCTAGAGTTGTTAGGTTTTTTCGCTACAAACTCTGCTTTTAGTTATGTAGCTTAACAGATGAGATACAAGTAGAGAGAGGAAATAAAGTAAGTGTTGTGTGTCACTTCAACCCCTAAGAGCATTACAACATAAAACTCTAGACAGTTTTTTTTTTTGTTAACGTCAGCTTCTCTCAACACCTTAACTGATAACAATAATTTAAAAAAAAATTTAAACTTCCTAAATATATTTTAAAGAATGCAATTAGTGTGAAATATTCTTCTCCTAGTTCATATATTGTAGTTTTCTTGATTCTATTATTCTAAGATGGTCATAATGCCAAAAATGTATTAGAACATGAAAACTAACATTTTGCTCATAAAAAGGACAAAGTAAACCCGAAGCTGTATTTTATAGAACTTCAATTCGTTTTAGAGTTTTTTAGTTTAGGTTTAATCAGCTAGATTTGTTTGTTTTTTGTTTTGATCTTGTAATTATTAATGCTTCAAAGACTTCAGAATATCCTGCAAAATTACCTTTTGGTCTAGCACCAATTCAATGATCTGAGGCAGTATTTTAAAGCCTGCCAGATTTATTTAATCTTTTTTTATGATTACTCAATGGTCCTACACAAATTGTTCAAAAGTTTTGGGATGTTGTTGCTCAGCATCACAAGCGAAACACAGGAAACAATCGAATTGAAAATGTTAAACATTGAAACAACAGGGTATCCTGCCTAAAGAATACCTAAACACTTTTTAATGTTTAAAGTCTTTCATTTAAGCATTCAAAACCTGCAGAAAACCTGACCTTCATACCTGGGGCTTTCAATAATAGATCAAACTTGGTATGGCTATTATGTAGTGTTTTATGAGACAGGCTTCACTTTGATGTGAAATATCTTATTAATTTGTATTTATATCACTCTAGAAACTGTTGTGGGATGTTTTCTATTTAAATCCCCATATCTACATAAGAAACGCTCAGAAAGTACCTCATAGACTGTAAAAAGAAGTTTCTTCATATTGCATCTTGACATCCAGTGATCAACATCTAATCCCAATCCCAACACCCCCTCCCACTCCTTTTTTTCCTTTTTTTTACCCACCAAACATCCTTCAAAGCTGGTCTTGTAAAACCATCTGTTCATAGACAGTTAACACCATGTTCAGAGTTGTCCAGACATGATTGGATCTCTTGATACGAATGTTAGTGTCAGATGTGAAGGGGCTGAGATACACTGTGTTATATCACCAATTATAGTGAAGATAAGGGTCTATAATGAACAGATTTTCCCACCAAACTTGTCATTCTATATTTATAAGTCATGAACTGTAATAGCTCCTATGGGAATCTGCAACATAACATTTAGGTAAACAAATTAACGTCAGATCTCTACGTAGCTAAGATGTTTGATCACGCTAAATATAACCTTTGAACACTAAAAGGTTAAAGCTAGAACTCATGGTAACTTCATAGAAATTGGTATTAAAGTTTTCTATTAGAAATGTGCTTTTGGCAAACATTTAATCAGATTATGTTTAAGTTATTCAGACTAAACTCACCTCCTTCTGGAAGGCCTCAAGAGAATACATCTAAATGGAAACTCTAAAACCTAAAAACAATCATTCCTTTAATGTTTGGTTAACATTGACCTGTTGGACACACATACAGGAGGTGGAAATATTAAAACGAAGAATGTCTGAGCTTTTTGGCTGTAAACTTTAAACATCAGCTCAGTTTTCTTCTTTATATTGATCCCATCAGATTTTTCTTTTATTGGTGAAATAGTTCATTACCCAGGAGTTTTTTATCTGACATCTGAGCCTATCATTGATGGATTAGAGAAAAATGGAGATAGAGGCCATTAACTATGAAAACAAATCCCGTCTAATTCACCAGCTAATTTGAATCCATTCTCTTCTATTAGCCTTAAAAGATTGACAGACGTGTAATCACTGAGTGGGTTTTTTTCTTCTTATTTTAGGCAAAGGGCTCTGAGCAATCTGAGCGAGGAGCTCCTTGAAGAACGCCTTTTTTAATTTCTGCCCCTAATAAGAAATCAGTCAATGCCATTATGTAATGAAACGCCATGTAACGTCTTTAAATATGAAACCAATTACATTTTCACGCACACAATCAAGTGACTGCTGGAAATGTACATAGTGGTGGAATTGCTTTTGGAAATGAGAATTGGAAGTGCTTCTCTGTTAGAGGAGACATCTAATCTAAGCCTAACTGAAGCAACAGTGGCTGTAATTGTGGAATTATCATACATTTTATTCCCGTAAAAATTCTCATTCTTTTGGCCTTGAAGTGGACTTTCACCGCCTTCCTGCTTATTTCAAATGTTTAATAGTTCTGACATACCCCAGGTTATAATTATGTCCCTGTTGACTCTTTATTAGCTCCCAAATTATAAGCACTCATAATGAGCTCCTGATAAGAAAGTAACATTTGTAAATTAAAGTCATTTTATTTATTTTATTTTATTCAAAATTTTGCTCGATGTTTAAAGAATACCCAAGAGGATTAACGAAATTAAAAGGACCCACTTAGTCCAAACAGTTCCTTCTTTGTGCTAAAAAGCAACGTTTTACATGAAAGTAACTGAAAGCTGAACTATAAGATAAACTGGTGAACATACGCCAGCAGTAGGAAGAATAATACATCATTTATTGGATTGATTTATTTTAAATTCTGTTGGGGAATAACATTTTTGATGCACAGTTGAATCAGATCGTCAGTTCGATTTTTGGTAATTTGATCTTTAAACACACTAAACATATAGTCTATAGACACAATATCTGAAAATGTATCAACACTTATCAGCATATGTGCATGATCTGCAGTACATATTTTCAAATTCCAATATCTGTAAGAAATTCAGAAGACTGCAAATGCTTAACTTATGACTGCTTTATCCCAATTTTTACCTTCTCCAATTATAGATAACTTAAGATAGAAAGTTTAAGCCGTAGAGTATTACAATTTATTATCCTTTGGAAAGCTCAAATGATCTAAAAAACTGCCACCTTTATCCCTCTACTGGAACATAATGATGGCTCTCTGTGCTGCTAGAAAATGAAAGTTGGAAATTTCCTTTTTTTTTTATATATTATTCATTGCCATATTTTACAGACATTCAACATAGTTTTTCCTTTCCAGAAATGTTTAAAACACCATTTTTGGACAGAGGACTAAATTGTTCCATACCAAAGAGTGAATGATGGAACGTGTTTCCTTGGTAATGTAGAAGCATCCAGTTAGTGCTTCACCAAAGCGGTGCATTGGTGCAACACTAGAAAAGAAACATATTTTTATTATTTTTTTATTTTCCAGAAGGATTGTGATCAGATTCAGGGTGAATCGGGGAATGATAATTGTTTAGCATGTAGTTGCATACAGACTTTTTTCCATTTTGTTTTTTGCAGATTGCTGCAGGCCCAGCTGCACCTGCAGCACCACCTCCTCCACCACTACCAGGAGGTGCAGCACCCCCACCTCCCCCACCTCCTCCTCCCCCACCCGGTGGCTGTCCTCCTCCCCCTCCTCCCCCTCCTCTCCCTGGCCACGCCGCCATTCCACCACCCCCTCCTCCTCCCCCAGGAGCAGGACCCCCGCCACCTCCACCCCCCCCTGGTTGTGGGCCTCCACCTCCTCCGCCTCCCTTTGGTGGTCCTCCTGCACCTCCAGTTGTCAAGCTGCCTTATGGACTGGAGCCAAAGAAGACATACAAGCCTGAAACTGTGATGAAGAGGGTCAACTGGTCAAAGGTAGTTATTCAGACTTGTTTTCACTCTCTGTTTGTCTGGTTTAAGGCTCCTATGAACATGTTTATAGCAGTGGAGTTTTTTCCGTCTGCACAAACTGTAATTTTGCACCTTTTTCAGTTGGTTTTCGATCTTTTATGCCTTCATGCTATAATGCTAAGTTCAAACCAGAAGGAGATTTATCTAAAAGCACCCTTAATCTATTCAAACAGCCGTACTACCACATGCCACACTCTTCCACCTATAACATCTATTTCAAAGGATTGGAGAGTAAACAATTTTCACTGCTCAGATGTCATTGGATTTGCACCATCTTAGCATATTTGAAGGAAGACTGTGTTGTGTAATGTTCCATCACATTAAAAAAAACAATTTCAATGAAACATTTTCTTCCACCTGGTTTATATTTTACCGTCGGTGTTTGGTCTATTATCTCCACAAATTTTAATGTTGATTTAATGGTTCTTCACACTGCTTATTTGCCCTTGTGATTCAGGCTTTAGTCTCAGGCTGCAGACAAATGGTTTTAGTGGATTAAGGTCTTCTTTTCTCTATTTGTCATGTCACATTTATGAATACACCTTTGTTGCTTATGCAGATGTATTCAGAAAATTATCAAGGTCTAAAATCTTGAGACTTTATTGAGCAACAAAATCGTTGTAGGTAAGGGGCGTTCATTGGCTGGGACAAATGTGCGGTTTTAGTGGTTTAGGAGTGATGAGCTGATTCCCATAACTCCTGATTTTTACCAAGCTAATCTAACCCATATTATGGTTAGGTGGTGAATGTACCAGAACTTTAACAAGATCAAAATATTTCAAGGCGCTGCCATAAAGCCTGCCCTGTTTTAAGAGACAAAAAAGTATACCATATCAAGTCAGTACGTGCACACACACGTTCATTTCCTTTACAATACACAAACCTACACCTAACCTAACCTGACC